GCCCTCCCCCACCCCCTTCGATCTCCCCCAGGCCGAGGAGGAGCACGCCGGTGCGGCTGGCAGCGAGAAGGAGGAGGCCGAGGAGGAGGAGGAGGAAGAGGAGGAGGAGTATGACGAGGAAGAAGAGGAGGAAGATGACGACCGACCGGCCAAAAAGCCGCGCCATGGCGGCTTCATCCTGGATGAAGCTGGTGAGCTGGGGGGGCCGCGGGGGCATTGAGGGGGGTCGCTGCCGCCCCCGCAGCCCCACTCATTGCCCTTAACCCCCCCAGACGTGGACGACGAGTACGAGGATGAGGACCAGTGGGAGGACGGGGCCGAGGACATCCTGGAGAAAGGTGAGGAGCGTCCCCATGCTGCTTTGGGCCCCCCCCTGTGGCTTTGGGGGCCTCCCTGCGGCTTTGGGGCCCCCCCCGGGTCCTTTCCCCACCCTGGAGGCCCAAGGAAGAGGATGGAAGTGCAGCTCTTTGGGGGCCAACCCACGCCCTCTGGCTCTTACCCCCCCCCAGCCCCTTTCCCCCCCCAAAACCCATCACTGGGGGGCGGGAGGGCTGGCACGTCTCCCCTGCCTCCCACTGTTCATCTATCCATCCCTCCTTGTGTCCATCCATCCGTCTGTCTGCTCAGCACATCTCATCCGCGCTCGCCTGGGGTTTTTGTTTTGCTTCCCCCCCACCCCTTTTCCCCCTGTGCTGCCGTCTGAATTTTGATTCCTTCCCCTTTGTTCCCCCCTCACCCGCGGGTGGTTTTGCCGCTATTATTTGCTCCATCCTCCACCGCCACTCCTTCCTCCCGAGCAGAAGAGATCGAAGGCAAGCCCAAATCATTTTTTTCCCCCCCCCCCCCCCCGCCACTCCTTCCTCCCGAGCAGAAGAGATCGAAGGTAAGCCCAAATCACCCCACCGTCCCCCCCCATTTCCCCTCGGGGTCCCCCCCTCCTTCCCCGGGGCCGAGCAAGCCCAGCCCACCCCCCCGTGCCATCCCCTGCGGGCGAGATCCCAACCTTCCTCTTCCTCGCAGCTTCCAACATTGATAACGTGGTGCTGGATGAGGATCGCTCCGGCGCTCGACGGCTGCAGAACCTCTGGAGGTGACAGCAGCTCTGTCCATGTGTCCGTCTGTCTGTCAGGGCGGCAGGGGCTGCGCTGACGCCTCCCCCGCTCCTTTTCTCTCCCCAGGGACCAGCGTGAGGAAGAGTTGGGCGAGTATTATATGAAGAAATACGCCAAGTCCTCGGTGGGAGAGACGTGAGTCTCCATCCTTGTCCCCGTCGCCAGTGCGACGGGGAGCGCCCCGCCCTCTCCCCACCACCTCTCCTTCTGTTATTTTTTTATAATTTTCCTTTTCTCAGCGTTTACGGTGGCTCTGACGAGCTCTCAGACGACATCACGCAACAGCAGCTGCTGCCTGGAGTCAAGTGAGTCTCAGAGGGGGGGAAAATCCTGCGTAGTTTTGGGAGGAAAAAAGAGCAAATCGGGACAAGCCACCCCGTAACGGTGTTTCCTTCTCCGCCCCCGTGCAGGGACCCCAATCTCTGGACCGTGAAGTGCAAGGTGGGCGCTGGGGGGGGATGGCGCAGGGGGTGCTCAGCACGGTGCAGGGGGCCGCATCCCCACCCCTAAAACGTTCTTTTCACCCCCAGATAGGCGAGGAGCGTGCCACGGCCATCGCCCTCATGCGGAAATTCATCGCTTACCAGTTCACCGACACGGTGAGGCCACGGGGGAGCCGGGCTGGAGCCAGAGGCGGGGTGACAGTGCCGCAGTCTCCCCAACGTGTCCCCAATGCGTCCCCTCGTTCTCCAGCCCCTGCAGATCAAGTCGGTGGTGGCCCCCGAGCACGTCAAGGGTTACATCTACGTGGAAGCCTACAAGCAGACGCACGTCAAGCAGGCGATCGAGGGGGTGGGCAACCTGCGCATGGGCTACTGGAACCAGCAGATGGTCCCCATCAAGGAGATGACCGACGTCCTCAAGGTGGTGAAGGAGGTCACCAACCTCAAGCCCAAATCTTGGGTGCGCCTCAAGAGGGGGATCTACAAGGATGACATCGCCCAGGTGAGGAGGGGAAGCGGACAGGGACACCGTGGAGGGGGACACACGCAGCTCACCCTGTGTTTGTGCCCCCCAGGTGGATTATGTGGAGCCCAGCCAGAACCAGATTTCCCTCAAGATGATCCCCCGCATCGACTTCGACCGGATCAAAGCCCGCATGAGCCTGGTGAGTGGATCCACACGGTGCTGGTGCCGGCACCACTGACACTCCGCCGCCCTTTGCTCACCCCCCACTGCCCCCCGCCCCACAGAAAGACTGGTTCGCCAAGAGGAAGAAGTTCAAGCGACCCCCGCAGCGGCTTTTCGATGCCGAGAAGATCCGGTAGGCGACGATCGCCGCGCCGGGGGACATCAGCTCTGGCCCCAAAAGACCCCCCGGGGGAGCTGCCCTCGCCGAGGGAGGGCTTTCATCCCGGGGTGGGGGGGCTTTTGCCCACCAAGGGGGTGATTTGCGTTTTGTCCCAGGTCCCTGGGAGGTGACGTGGCATCCGACGGGGACTTTCTCATCTTCGAAGGCAACCGTTACAGCCGCAAGGGATTCCTCTTCAAGAGCTTTGCCATGTCGGCCGTGGTGAGTGCCGCTGCCCTGCCACGCCGGCGTTTGAACCCCAAACCTTCCGTTTTTCCCCCAAAACCGCCTCCTTTCTAATGCTGAGGCCTGTTAGGAGGCTGGTGGTTCCTTGGTGGGGATGGTGCCACCAATCCGGGTGCATTTTGGGGTGGAACGGGGCGTTTTGGCCACTGGCTCTGCTCTTGGCAGATAACAGAGGGCGTGAAGCCCACTCTGTCAGAGCTGGAGAAGTTCGAGGACCAACCCGAAGGCATCGACCTGGAGGTGGTAACGGAAAGCACAGGTAAGTGAGCGCCGCCACTGTCCCCCTGCCATCCCCTCCACGGCGCTAGCCCCTCACCATCCCCACCATCCCAGGGAAGGAACGAGAGCACAACTTCCAGCCTGGTGACAACGTGGAGGTGTGCGAGGGTGAGCTGATCAACCTTCAGGGCAAAATCCTCAGCGTTGACGGCAACAAGATCACCATCATGCCCAAACACGAGGACTTGAAGGTCAGGGAGTCCCTGGGGAGCGATGCCGGGTGTCTCCCAGGGCTGCTGCAGCCACCCGGACCCTGTCAGCCCCTTCTCCCTGTGCCCACGGCGTTCTCTTTTCCCCCACCCCCAGGACATGCTGGAGTTCCCAGCTCAGGAGCTGCGGAAGTATTTCAAGATGGGTGACCACGTCAAAGTGATCGCGGGGCGTTTTGAGGGCGACACGGGGCTTATCGTGAGGGTGGAGGAAAACTTCGTCATCCTCTTCTCCGACCTCACCATGCACGAGGTATCTGGGGGGTGAAAAGTCCTGCTTGGTGCCCAAAACACGCTGTTTTTGGGGGGAAAAAGAGGAGAAACGGCTGCATCTCGTGCTTCTTGCCACCAGCTCAAGGTTCTGCCACGAGACCTGCAGCTCTGCTCAGAGACGGCGTCTGGCGTGGACGTGGGGGGGCAGCACGAGTGGGGTGAGCTGGTGCAGCTGGATCCCCAAACCGTGGGTGTCATCGTCCGTCTGGAGCGGGAGACCTTCCAGGTGAGTCCTAGCTCCCCGGGGATGCCCGGAGGAGCCACGTCCCCCGCCTGGGGCGGGGGTTTCCATGCTCATCCCTGTGTCGGAGCTGTGTTCCCTGCTCTGGGGGGTTTTTCCGTGCTTGGCCCTGTGCCGGAGCCGTGTCCCCTGCCCCAGCGGGGTCCCCGTTTTTGGCCGCCCCCTTCCCAGCCTCTTGCTGTCCCGGCAGGTGCTGAACATGTACGGGAAGGTGGTGACGGTGCGGCACCAGGCTGTCACCAGGAAGAAGGACAACCGCTTCGCCGTTGCCCTCGACTCGGAGCAGAACAACATCCACGTCAAGGACATCGTCAAAGTCATAGATGGGCCTCACTCGGTAGGGGCTTACGGGGTTGGGGGGGTGGTTCTGGTGCTTTGGGGGCCCTCAGGGGGGGCTCTGGGTCCTTGCTGGTGCTGCTCTGGGTCCATCCCTGCTGCAGGGACCGTCCCTGGGGTGAGCTGGGTCCCTCCTGGCACCGTGGGGGGCGGTCCCTGGTGTATTGGGGTCCCTCCCGGCACCCCCCTGTATCCCTCCCAGCACTGAAGGGACACCGGGTCCCCCCTACACCTCTCCTGGCATCGAGGGGACACCAGATCCCTCCCAGCACCCCTCAGGGTCCTTCCCATTACTGAGGGAAGGATCTGGTCACCTCTCTGGGACTTTTTACTGGGGCTTAACCCCTCCCTTTTACTGGGGCAGGGCCGCGAGGGGGAGATCCGGCACCTCTTTCGGGGCTTCGCCTTCCTGCACTGCAAGAAGCTGGTGGAGAACGGCGGCATGTTCGTCTGCAAGACCCGGCACCTCGTCCTGGCGGGCGGCTCCAAGGTGGGGACCCACCAGGGACGCCCCTGGGGACTGCTGGGGGGGCTGCAGCCCCCCAGTTTTGCCGCTGCCCCCCCTCCAGGTGCCATTTTCTCTCCTCACAGCCACGGGACGTCACCAACTTCACCGTGGGTGGCTTCGCCCCCATGAGTCCCCGTATCAGCAGCCCGATGCACCCCAGCGGGGCTGGTGAGTCTTGGGTATCCCTGAGGCCGGGGGGGGGTCCCCAAGGACCCCCCCCGAGCCCCATCTCGGTCCCACAGGCCAACGCGGTGGTTTCGGCGGCGGCGGCATGAGCCGTGGCCGCGGGCGGCGGGATAACGACCTCATTGGGCAGACGGTGCGCATCTCCCAAGGACCCTACAAAGGTGGGTGCCTTCTGGCAGGGTGCTGGGTGCCTGTTTGATCCCCCCCCAAACAGGGGAGGGGGCCTCAGGGATGCCCAGACCCCCACCCTGAGCCCCCATCCTGCCTCGCAGGCTACATCGGGGTGGTGAAGGACGCGACGGAGTCGACGGCCCGCGTGGAGCTGCACTCCACCTGTCAGACCATCTCGGTGGACCGCCAGCGCCTGACCACTGTGTGAGTGGGGGGGCACGGGGACACCGGGGTCAGGGTGGCCCTCGGAGACCCCCTGACGGGTCAGGGTGTCCCTCAGCGTCGGTGACGCTTCGGCCAGAACCTCCCCTAGGGGCAGATGACGCCCGCAGACATGAGCAGGGCTCTTTTAGGGCGTCCCTGTCTCCCCCTGGCACCATGTCCCTGTCCCCTGACACCCGCCTGTCCCCACAGGGGCTCACGGCGCCCGGGTGGGATGACGTCGGCCTACGGGCGCACCCCCATGTACGGCTCGCAGACCCCCATGTACGGCTCCGGCTCCCGCACCCCCATGTATGGCTCGCAGACCCCCCTGGGGACACAGAGGTGGCCCTGGGGTAGCCTGGGGGGTGGCCCAGGATGAGATGGGACCTTGGGGGATACAGAGGGATGGAGGGAACTGGGATTAGGGGGACCCTGGGGGGGATGCTCCCGGGTGAAGTGGGGCCTAGGGGGACATGGAGGGGACCAAGGGGACAGGGGGATGGACGGGACAGGGACTGGGGGGACTCTGGGGACTTGGGGCTGGCTTGCAGGGGGACGAACCAGGATGAGATGGGAGCTTAGGGGACACAGAGGGGACCCCAGGGTGATCTTCTGGAGGTGACGGGGCTCAAGTAGGGTCGGGGACATGGAGAAGGGGGGCGTGGGGGGACTGACGGAGCCTCTGCGGGACCCTCGCAGGCAGCCGCACGCCGCACTACGGCTCCCCAACCCCCCCGCACGACGGGAGGCGCCCCCCCCCCCCCACCCGCGG